TACTTTCATGTTGCTATAACTATGTTATAATTATGTGTGGTATATATATTGTACACACATATTTTCTGTATTCATGTTCTGTATTCTGTAAACATGTATATTGTATATACATGTTTTCTGTAGTCATGAGTTCTACACCCATGATTCAATAAGCTATAGATTTGATAAACTATAGATCAGAATTATTTGGTTAAAAAAATATAAATTAACAATAAAAATAACAAAATCAATACAACTACTTACATAACATTAACACCGTGTTCAGTATCATAAGTGGGCATCTTTTTCTTATTCTTGATCTCACAGGAAAAGCTTTCAGTTTTTTACTGTTGAGTGTTTTGTTAACTATGGGCTTACTGAATCTGGCCTCCATTGTGTTGAGGTACTTTTCCCCTACATCTCAATTTTTGAGAATTTTTAATTACAAGAGGATGTTAAATATTTTTGAATGCTTTTTCTGCATCATTCAGATGATCATATGGTTTTCGTTCCTTACTCCATTAAAGTGGTATATCGTGTTTATTGATTTGGGTATGTTCAAGATTCTTGCATTTCAGAAATAAATGACCATGATAAATGAATGTTTTAATGTGCTGCTTATTTCAGTTTGCTCATGTTTTGTTGAGAATTGTAGCACCTATGTTTGTCAGGAATACTGGCCTATAATTCTCTTTATTATAGTGTTCTCTGGCTTTAGTATCAGGGCAATGCTGGCCTCACAAAATAAATATCAATATATATCCTCATCTTCAGCTTTATCGAGGAGTTTGAAAAGATGATATTCATTCTAAAATGTTTGGTAGGATTCAATATTGAAGTCATCAATTTGTGGGCATTCCTATTATGGCCATTTTACCACTAATTCAATCTCCTTACTTGTAGTTGGCATGTTCATGTTGTTTATATCTTCAAAATTTACTTTGAGTAGTTGTACATATTGATAAAGTTATCCATTTTTTCTAAGTTATCCAATTTGCTGGCATATAATTACACTTAGTTACCTCCACAATTATTTATATTTATGTAGTGCCGATTATAATAATTCTTTCATTTCTGGTTTTGTTTATTTGAATTTTCTCTTTTTTCTTCTCAGTTCAGCTAACAATTTATTAATCCTGTAAGCTTTTCAAAAACAAACGCTTAGCATTTATTTCTTCCATGAATTTTGGACTTTATTTGTTCTATTTGTTCCTGAGGTGGAAAGCTAGGTTTTTTGTTGTTTCTTTGTTCATTTCTTTGTTTTCTTTCCTTGAGATTTATCTTAGTTAATGGGGTCATTTATTGCTACAAAATTCCATCTTAGTTCTGCTTTCTGCTGCATTCCAAAATATTGGTATGTTGTGATTTTATTTTCATTTGTTTCAAAATACTTTTAATTTCTCTCATTTTTAGAATGATATTTTTAGTTTCTATATATTTTCCAATTTTCCTAAATTTATCCACCTTTTGACTTGTGGTTTCATATCATTGTGACTGAAAATGATACTTGGTAAGATCACAATCTTCTTAAATAAGTTAAGACTATTTGTGGCCTATTATGTGATGTGTCTTAGAAAACGTTTCCCGTGCATAGAGAAGAATTGTCTTCTGCTGCTGTTGGATGAAATGTTCTTTATATGTCTGTTAGGACCATTTGCCTAATGTCTAGTTCATATCTAATGGTTACTTATCTATTTTCTGTATGGATGATCTGTCCATTGCTACAGGTTGGGTACTGCTGTCCTCCGCATCCTCTACTATTATTATACTCTCTCTATATATCTGTCTTTCTCTTTCTCTCTCTCTATCTTTCTCTCTCTCTCTCTCTCTCTCTCTCTCTCTCTTTCTCTCTCTCTCTTTGTATATGTGTCTCTCTCTCTTTAGATAAATTAATATATATTTAGCTGCTCTGATGTCAGGTGCACATGTATTTATAATTGTTATATCGTTTAATGGATTAATTCATGTATTATTGTATAATGACCTTCTTTGTCTTGTTTTAGTTTTCATGTGAAATCTATTTTACCTGACATCAATATATCTACATCTGGTCTTTTTGAATTCAATTTCTGTGTGCAATACCTTTTTCCATTCCTGCACTTTCAAACTGTATGTGTCTGTAAATGTAAATAACCTCTAGTTGAGTCCTTTATATATATATATACATACATATTCAACCACATTGTCTTTTAACTGAGGAATTTATTTTCTTTCAAAACAATGCCTGATACCTACAGAATTGCCATCAGAATTTCCCCATTATCTGGATGTTTTAATGGATCATTTTCTTCCTTTCCTCCTCTCTTGCTGTCCTTCATTGTAATTAGATAATTCTTTCTAGTGGTATACAAATTTCACAGTCAGTAGTTCCTGATATCTTTTCAATAACTAAAATAGATCCTGCACATTACTGCACATTATTGCAATAATATCTAACCATTCTAAGGAGTTTCTCTGCCTAGACTTTATGAATCTGGTGTCTTTCTTTTTTTTTTTTTTTTCTTTTTAATTGCATTTTAGGTTTCGGGGTACCTGTGCAGAATGTGCAAAATAGTTGCATAGGTACACACATGGCAGTGTGTTTTGTTGCCTTCCTGAATCTGGTGTCTTTCTTTCTCTTGCTCTGGAAATCATTGTTCCTGGAAATCCATTAATACTGGCACTAACAGCAGATTGGATACCTCAAAGCTTACTTGAAACCTGACATTCTTTATTCTAACTCTGTAATAAAATGATCATTATTCTTTCACTTTAAAGACCATATTGTTATTATCCAGGTTACCTACAGCTAACCTCCAATGGTTCTTCACATATAGAGTCACCGTATTTCAAAGTAGAAGTGAATGATATGGATCAATTAATTAAGTTTATGTTCTGAGTGCAAATTTACTTGGAATTTTCTAGCATGTGGAGATCCAAATTTTTCAATTCCTTCATGACAAGGCTGCCAACAAGACAGTTTATTTCATCTTCGTACTGCTTTAGCCATTAGAAAAATGTCTTACATGGTACAATTGATGTCTTTAAAGTTCGGCTATCAGATGCAGTTGCCATCAGTGGAAAAACAAAGCAGAATAAACCGAATTCTCAGTCACACAGAACCCCACACACAAAACCTTTGAAAAATGCTAAAAAACATAAATGTAAAATAAGGATGCTGCAAACTTCAGCGCTGAACGCGTGTATACTTTATAACAACATAGACTAAAGGTAGCCACGCTAAGCAGTGGCAGTGGGCTGTTTAGTAGGTGGTACTGGAGAACCCAGCTCAGCATACTGTAAAATGAAACTGGACCGACATATATAAAGGTGGACTCCAGGCGGGTTAATAATCTAAAAGCAAAATGTGTAACTTTAAAATTATGTGAAAATGTAGAATATTTTTGACAGAAAACTACAAAATCAGAAATCACAGTTAATCTTTGTGCAATTGTGCGCACTATTAGCAAAAATAAACAAATGACAGTTTACAAGGTTTTTCCAGTGCCTAAAAATGACATGGGAATTTATCAAGGATATGTAATAAATTCCTGAAAATCACTCAAAAAAGGCAAAAAATCCATTTTTAAAATGGAGAAAGGGATATGAAAGAGAAACCATGAAGATTAATATATATTGAAAGAAATAAAATTGTTCAAATGCTTTAGTAATCAAAGATGTATAAATTACAACAGCAAGATAATATTTATACCGTGCAAACAAGCAATATGAGAAAATTAGACAAAACAAGTATTCAAACATAAGTAAGAACAGAGAAGTGCAATTTGAGGGTTTAGGCTGGTGCAGACGTTCTGGAGACTAACAGGGGAAAACTTAGAAAAATTAAAGATAAACATGCAACTTGTATCAGCTATTCAGATTCCGAATTGACTCTTTCAGAATCCCATAGGGGAAGTGTGTTCATTACAGCAATGTTGTGCTGAAGCAGTGCTGGGTGTGGTTGTGTATGTATCACTGAGATAGTAAAAAGGCAAAATCTTGTGTATGAGCTACATGAAGTACCAAATAGCAATAAGAAGTAGCCATTTAAATGCACAAATAGTATCAGAAATCAATGTTTCAATGCAATCGTGCTGAGGGAAAAACGTTTTAAAGAGATATACTAAAAAATTTACTTACATTTAAAATATATCATAAAATGCCCAGCTTTCTTCAGACACTGACAAAACGAAATCAGTAGATTTCCTGTCTTTTTCTTCATTCTATTCTAATCTTTTATTATTATTATTATTATTATTATTGTGCTTTAGGTTCCAGGTTACATGTGCAGATCATGCAGGATTGCTGCATCGGTACACACATGGCAGGTGATTTGCTGACTTCATCGCCCCATTCCCCAAATCTGGTATTTCTCCCTTCATTATCCCTCCCCACCCTCCCAACCCACTGTCCCTCCCCTCGCATCTCACTGCTGACTGCAGTGTGTGATGCTCCCCTCCCTGTGTTCACATGTTCTAATTCTAATCTTTTTTATTTATTATTTGAAATTTTGAGTGTGATATTTGTGTTTATATTTAAATTCAAATAGAAATAATTTACATACAAGGAATTAAGAAATATGTTAAACATCCATATTAGGATTCAACTAATAAGATAACATTGCCACCCAACTTTTGAGGAAGCCACAAATGCTCCAATTAATGCTGATTCTGAAATTAAGGAGACCAGACTTCTTAGTGAATAAGGACTTTTATTAAGAAAATTCCATTTTTGTTCCATTTTAATACATTCCAATTACACAGTCCTCTTGTGCTTCTGCAAATAGCCATGGCAGAATGATGGGGAAAAAAGATATCTGAATTTACTTTTGAAATTAATCAGAATAGATCTCCTCTCTTCAGCGATGTGATGTAACTACTCAGTCTCCATCCACTTCAAACAGCTTCTCTTATATACATTCAGATGCTCAATGGACCACAGTTAATCTTTACGTAGATGTGAAGATAGTGGATAGGAAAAATTTAAACTGAACTTGCTCTTGGAATGGTCACTGCAAACATAAAGATGATCCGTAGTGATGATTAGCAGCAAGAGGAATAGCATCTTCTGTAGCAAAATGGTCGGTAGCCACAGCAGCCAGAGCCGTATCCACAGCCATATCCACAGCCAGAGCCATAGCCACAGCGGGTTCCATATCCAGAGCCATATCCACAGCCATAGCCACAGCCAGAGCCATACCCACAGCCTGTTCCGTATCCACAGCCATAGCCACAGCCTGTTCCATATCCACAGCCATAACGACAGCCATAGCCACAGCCAGAACCATACCCACAGCCATAGCCAGAGCCACAACCATATCCACAGCCAGAACCCCAGCCAGAGCTGTAGCCACAGCCCCCACAGGAGTTTCCGTAGTAGTTGCAACACATGGTGTCAGGAGGTGAGATTTCAGTGAAGGTCTAGGAGGATGTCTCTGAAGTGTGAGTGTCTTCTGCTCTTCCAAGACCTTTATATACTTCCAGGAATGCATGGGTCATCCTCACATGGGCTCTATTTGCTCATTTCACAATCATTTGCCTAAAATGACCTCGTTCTGTGTACATCTACTTTCTTTGGAATTCATAATTTGCTTATAGCTTCCCTAGGAATATTTTTATGCCTGAAAGGAAAACAAACACAAGTTTTAAACACACACACTCATACAACCATAATTTTATTTTCCATAGTTTCATGTCATGACCATGACATTGCACGACACAAAAATAAGTTTGGCCTATAAATGTCTGTTTATCATTCTACTCTTGTAAGGTCTTGGAAATCATCTATTAAATATGGAGTTCTACTCAATGCTCTTAACACCATTATCATCATTATCATCATCATCATCATTTCCTCTTATTTTTTCCTAATACCACGGTGTTCTTTCTTTTTATCATAGCTACTGAAAATTACTAATCATGGTTTTTGGACAAGGAATTCAGGATTTCTGCATGCTCCCTCTGCACCTTGAAACCCTCTTCTTCTCTCTGAAAAAAGTTTGACCTTTCCCCCTTTTCTAAGTGTCTATGACCTTCTCTTCTTTCCTTGAAGGAAAAATTTTTGTTAAACTTCTGACAGGTCAGTTATGTAAGATGTATCATTTAAAATTTATAGTACAAACTTCTGAGTTTCCATTTAAAATAAGGAAATTTCCTTGGTTTACAACTTTTTTGTCCTTGACGTCCAATTGTTAAATTCAGTTCTTACACTCAGGTTTGTTTGTGTGTAACGATCGAATTTAATAATTGGACGTCAACAACAATCGGGCTTCTCTGATGTCTGTGCTGTACATCAGTGCTTCCTACTAAAATGTAATCGATCAGTCAGTCGTACACCAGACAGGTGTAGTGGGTGGGGAATGGAGAGCTGTTGATCAAAGGGTCCAAAATTTCAGTTAGGTAAGAAGAATTAACTTCAGTGATTTATTACACAAAACGGTGACTATAATAGAGAGTAATACACTGTTTATTTCAAAATTACTAAAAGAACAGATTTTAAACATTACCACAAAAATCATAAGTATGCAAGGTCATCACCTTTTTTATTAGCTTTATTAAATTATTCACAGTGGTTTCCTGATTTTAGAATCGATTTTCTTTTCCAAACAAAATATCAATAATATTTACTCATAATATTTTTGTTGTATATCTTACATTAGGAAATTAACAATAGTTGGCCTTTCTGTGCAATTTCCTATTGTTTCTTACTCTTTGCTTGATATCTTTATTACCTTCATTGGAGCGATAGTTTCATAGGGATATGCATATGTTCAAACTCAAGAAATTACATCCATTTAATAAGTACAGTTTTACATCAATTATATATTAGTAAAACTCATAAAATAAATACAGAAAATAAAGATGATAATTAAATAGATAAATAATGTCAGCATTCACTGGGAAACAAGAGGCAACCCCCTGGAACACATGGTAAGTAAATAATGCACATCTGGAGATACGGGCTTGCAGAGGGTCTGAGAAGCTCTGGACTGTGGGCAGACTATGGAAAGTAGCATTGATGAGTAGCCTATGTAGAGAATCTGAGTGTGTGGGTAGGAGCCCTGCAGGGACTTATGAGTAAACTGTCTTCAAGGTGCTAGTTTTCATGTAAACAGGGTCACATAAAGATTACTGCCAGGCTGAAGCTCAAGGTCCTTAAGGATCCAGCATATTCTGGACCTAAGAATGTGGTGGAGTCTCAACAGATAGGCTTAACTCACACTGCTAATACCTTCTCATCCCTCCTGTGCCACACCCGAGAATGCAGGAGCCCTGCTTCCTCCTGTAATGTCCCTGCTGCATCCTCTCCTGAGAAAGCTTGAAGCATGCTCACAGTGGAGATATCCCATCTGTCAGCACAGAGCACGTACTGAAGAATGAATTTGATGCTGAGGGTCCATAAATTGATAACAATTATAGTCTCTCCTCCACATACCAGAAGCCCTGTAGTAGAAATAGCTTTCCCTAGGAAACAGATTGAGTAATTTCCTCACTGATCCATTTCCTGATTACATATCCATGAAAAATATTATCAACCTGTATGAACCTCAGTTTCTGCAACTACCACATGGAATTAAAACTAACCATATGTATTTTAACAATGTGTCAAGGCATATGTGAAATATAAGGGATGTAGCAGGGATCCTGGTATATAGTGGAGACAATACTTTCTCTTTTTTTGCCATTTTCTTTATCCAAATATAAACACGCCCAAATAATAACTCTTCATATTTCTGCATGTACTTACATTTACACCTTTTTTATACTAAAATTTTAAAATTTACTTTCACGTCGCTATGGTTTCTAGTTATATGTGGCATATATATTGTATATATATGCATATATTCATTTGGTTTTCTGTATTCATGAGTTCTACATTCATGATTCAATAAGCTATAGATTTGATAAACTATAGATTAGAATTATTGGTTAAAAAAATAAAAATCAATAATAAAAATAACAAAATCAATACAACTTCTTACATAACATTAACACTGTGTTCAGTATCATAAGTGGGCATCTTTTTCTTATTCTTTATCTTACAGGAAAAGCTTTCAATTTTTCTTACTGTTGAGTGTTTTGTTAACTATGGGCTTACTGAATATGGCCTCCATTGTGCTGAGGTACTTTCCTTCTACATCTCAATTTTTGAGATTTTTTAATGACAAGAGGATGTTAAATATTTTTGAATGCTTTTTATGCATCATTCAGATGATAATATGGTTTTTGTTTCTTACTCCATTCAAGTGGTATATCGTGTTTATAGATTTCAGTATGCTCAGGATCCTGGCATTTCAGAAATAAAGTGCCATGATGAATGAGGCTTTTAATGTGCTGCTTATTTCAGTTTGCTCAAGTTTTGTCGAGAATTGTAGCACCGATGTTTGTCAGGAATAGTGGCCTATAATTCTCTTTATTATAGTGTTCTTCTCTGGCTTTAGTATAAGGGCAATGCTGGCCTCACAAAATAAATATCAATATATATCCTTATCTTCAGCTTTATCAAGGAGTTTGAAAAGATGATATGCACTCTCAAAATGTTTGGTAAGATTCAATATTGAAGTCATTAATTCATGGGCATTCCTATGATGGCCATTTTATCACTAATTCAATCTCCTTACTTGTAGTTGGCATGTTCATGTTGTTTATATCTTCAAAATTTACTTTGAGTAGTTGTACCTATTGATAAAGTTATTCATTTTTTCTAAGTTATCCAATTTGCTGGAATATAATTACACTTAGTTACCTCCACAATTATTTATATTTATGTAGTGTCAATTATAATAATTCTTTCATTTCTTATTTTATTTACTTGAAACTTCTCTTGTTTCTTCTTAGTCCAGCTAACAATTTATTAATCTTGTAATCTTTTCAAAAACAAAATCTTAGTTTGGTTAATTTTTTTCTATTGATTTCTAGGGTTTTTTTTTTATTTCTGCTGTGATTGTTTTTATTTACTCATTTATTTCTTCCATGAATTTTGGACATTATTTGTTCTTTTGGTTCCTGAGGTGGAAAGCTAGGTTTTTTGTTGTTTGTTTGTACATTTGTTTGTTTTTTATCCTTCAGGTTTCTCTTAGGTACTGCAATCATTTATTGCTAGAAAATTTCATCTTAGTTCTGCTTTCTGCTGCATTCCAAAATATTGGTATGTTGTGATTTTATTTTCATTTGTTTCAAAATACTTTTAATTTCTCTCATTTTTAGAATGATATTTTTAGTTTCTATATATTTTCCAATTTTCCTAAATTTATCCAACTTTTGATTTGTGGTTTCATATCATTGTGATTGAAAATGATACTTGGTAAGATCACAATCTTCTTAAATAAGTTAAGACTATTTGTGGCCTATTATGTGATGTGTCTTAGAAAACCTTTCCCATGCTTTGAGAAAATCGTCTTCTGCTGCTGTTGGATGAAATGTTCTTTATATGTCTGTTAGGACCATTTGCCTAATGTCTAGTTCACATCTAATGGTTTACTTATCTATTTCCTGTATGGATGATCTGTCCATTGCTACAGGTTGGGTATTGGTGTCCTCTGCATCCTCTACTATTACTATACTCTCTCTCTCTCTCTCTCTCTCTCTCTCTCTCTCTCCCCTCTCTCTCTCTTTCTCTTTGTATGTGTGTCTCTCTCTTTAGATAGAGATTTATTTAATATATATTTAATACATAGTTAATATATTTAATATATATTTAGCTGCTCTCATGTCAGGTGCATGTGTACTTATAATTGTTATATCCTTTTAATGGATTAATCCACACATTATTACATAATGACCTTCTTTGTCTTGTTTTAGTTTTCATGTGAAATCTATTTTACCTGACATAAATATATCTACATCTGGTCTTTTATGATTTCAATTTGTGTGTGCAATACCTTTTTCCATCCCTACACTTTGAATCTGTGTGTGTCAGTAAATGTAAATAACCTTTAGTTCAGTCATATATATATATACACATATTCACCCACACTGTCTTCTGACTCAGGAATTTATTTTCTTTCAAAACAATCCCTGATACCTAAAGAATTGCTATCAGAATTTTTCTATTTTCTGGATGTTTTAATGGATCATTTTATTCCTTTTCTCCTCTCTTGCTGTCCTTCATTGTAGTTAGAGAATTCTTCCTAGAGGTATATGAATTTCACAGTGAGTAGTTCCTGATATCTCTTCAACAACTGAAATAGATCCTGCACATTATTGTAGTAATATCTGACCACTCTAACGGGTTTCTCTGCATAAAGATTACTAATCTGGTGTCTTTCTTTCTCTTACTCCGGAAATCATTGTTCCCAGAAATCCATTAATACTGGCACTAACAGCAGATTGGATACCTCAAAGCTTACCTGAAACCTGACACTCTTTATTCTAACTCTGTAATAAAATGATCATTATTCTTTCACTTTAAAGGCCATATTGCTGTTATC